GGATGTTTGCATCAAGACCTGGCCTTACTGCAAATGATATAAGAACATGGATGGGTGATTTTCGGCAAATCAGGAATGTCGCAAAATATGCTGCCAGACTTGGCCAATCTTTTGGTTCCTCCAGAGAAACTTTGAGTGTTGGTAGGCATGAGGTTGAAGTTATTCCTGATGTAGTTTGTTCGCTTCATGGAACCAACTACATCTTTTCAGATGGAATTGGAAAAATATCTGCTGACTTTGCTCATAGAGTTGCCATAAAATGTGGCCTTCAATATACTCCATCTTCTTTTCAGATTCGTTATGGTGGATATAAAGGTGTTGTGGCTGTTGATCCATATTCATCAATGAAGTTATCTTTGAGAAAGAGCATGTTGAAATATGAATCAAACAACATAAAGTTAGATGTCCTGGGATGGAGCAAATATCAGCCTTGTTATCTTAATCGTCAACTGGTTACTCTCTTGTCTACTCTTGGGGTGATAGATGATGTTTTAGAGCAGAAGCAAAATGAAGCAGTAGATCAGCTTGATGCTATTTTGCATGATTCTTTGAAGGCACAGGAAGCTTTAGAATTGATGTCTCCTGGAGAGAATACTAATATTCTCAAGGAGATGCTAAATTGTGGTTATATGCCTGATGCTGAGCCGTTTCTTTCAATGATGCTGCAAACTTTCCGGGCTTCGAAGTTGCTCGATTTGCGGACTAGAACAAGAATATTTATTCCAAATGGTAGAACGATGATGGGATGCTTGGATGAATCCAGAACCCTGGAATATGGTCAGGTGTTTGTTCAGTTTTCTGGTGCTGGACGTAGACAGTTTTTTGAGGAATCGCATCCTTTTAATGACAGTGGATCCGCCAACTGTGATTTCATTCTCAAGGGAAACGTGGTCGTTGCAAAAAATCCATGCTTGCATCCTGGTGATATTCGTGTTTTAAGGGCTGTTGATGTTCCAGCTTTGCACCACATGGTTGATTGTGTTGTATTTCCCCAGAAAGGAAAAAGGTAAAACATCACGTTGGAATTCTATTAACTGTTTGATTTCCATGTTAATCTTATATAGGGATTTACCATTGCTTGCATGGTCTTACTAACAATCAACGTCTTTTTCTTTTAGTGAGTGCAGTTAGAAAAACTTTAAAGAAAATGCAACTAGTCGTGTCCTACCATGTTGAACGGTTTCTTTCTTCTTTTTTTTTTCATGGCGTTGTTACTCGGTGGTTAACTTTGATGACAGACCTCATCCAAATGAATGTTCTGGAAGTGATTTGGATGGGGATATCTACTTTGTTTGTTGGGATCCAGACTTGATTCCGCCAAGGCAAGTCCAGCCGATGGATTATACTCCAGCACCCACCACACAGTTGGATCATGATGTCACAATTGAGGTACCCCTAGTTTCGAACAACTAAGTTTTACTTCCATAATTTAGCATGCTTCTGATGTATTCAACCTCTCTTACCTTATAGATGTGTATATGCAATAAAAATTGCCCACTGTCTGCTTACTGCAGGAAGTTGAAGAGTACTTCACCAACTATATCATTAATGACAGTTTGGGAATCATAGCAAATGCGCACGTTGTATTTGCAGACAGAGAACCTGATATGGCCATGAGCGATCCGTGCAAACAACTTGCTCAGCTCTTTTCAATTGCAGTTGACTTTCCAAAGACTGGCGTTCCAGCTGAAATACCATCTCAGTTGCGCCCTAAAGAATACCCAGACTTCATGGAAAAGCCAGACAAGCCAACCTATCCCTCGGAAAAAGTTATTGGAAAGCTTTTCCAGAAAGTGAAGAACAAAACACCCCAGGCTAGCTCCATCGCGACCTTCACAAGGGATGTTGCCAGGAAATCATATGATAGTGATATGATAGTCGATGGATTCGAAGATTACATTGACGAAGCTTTTTACTACAAAAGTGAATACGACAACAAGCTTGGTAATTTAATGGACTACTACGGCATAAAAACTGAGGCTGAAATACTTAGTGGTGGCATCATGAAAGCATCAAAAACTTTTGACCGCAGAAAAGATGCAGAGGCCATTGGTGTTGCTGTGAGGTGTTTGAGGAAGGAGGCAAGGGCCTGGTTCAAGAGGCGTAGTGATATTGATGACATGTTAGCAAAGGCTTCGGCTTGGTACCATGTTACATATCATCATACATATTGGGGTCTCTACAATGAGGGGTTGAAAAGAGATCATTTCATTAGCTTTCCCTGGTGTGTTTATGACCAGCTGATCCAGATTAAGAAGGCAAAAGCTCGTAAAAGGCCGGTTCCCCACTTGTCTTCACTCGGGAGTCAACTGAGTCGCAAATTAGTGATATGGTAGCATTAAGGCGATCTATATAATGTAAAAAGGGTGTGATCATAAGAGAACTGCTATGCCTTGTTAACAACCTTTTGTCTTTTAAACTGGTGATATATTTATGTAGCACTCTTTAAAACAGTTGTATAGCTAAGTAGTAATTAGTGTGCGATTTAAGTTTGTTTTATCTCTCTTCTCTACATGTTTCATGTTATGATTTATGTATTACGCTTAACTTCAAGTGATTTCTTGATATACTCTCCTCCCTCAAACGAAGACAGCAATTAAAGGTAATTTTTCTCCCACAATTTTTTCCTTAAAGTATCGCTATATATTGGCATGACTAATCCAGATTCACTATGAAGGTTTTTAGTGCTCCCAATCGAAGAGAATATTCTCAAACTTGGAGTTGGACATGATCTCTGAACTCCACCCTGTCACGAGGGTTGAAAATGTTCAAAACTTCTAGAAAATTAATGGTCTTAACCATTTTTAACCTTAGAAGAATAGCCAGCGTAAAGATGTTGTCTTTCTATTTCAGAGGTCTATCACACAAAATAACAATTTAGTAGGAGGAATGCTTGGAAGTCCTAACTTTGAAGATCATAAATCCTGCGAAATTCAATGACTTTTAGGGTGTGTTTGGTAGGAAGGAAAATGTTTTCCTAGAAAATATTTTTCATAGAAAATGAGTGATTTTATCACTTATTTTTCCTTGCTTGTTTGGTTGGTGAGCGAAAAACTTTTTCCAAAAAATATTTTATAGTGTTTGGTTAGAGAGCAGAAAATATTTTTTATGCTACTCTCCTCACCCCCTTCCCCCATGTTTCCTTGCTCGCCCCCTTCTAAATTTTTAACGTTTTCAGGACTTTATTTTTTTCAACGAATTTAATTATTCTTCTAAAAATTCACACAAACCCAAAGGAACTAATGTGTTGCATTTTTACGCAAAAATAAATTTAAAATTTGTGTTCCATAACTAAACAGAAAATATTCTTTTTTTTGGTTGAAAAATAAAGTACTATTTCTACAACATGAAAATGAAGTACTCATTTTATTGAAATAAAAGAAAATACTTTTCTACATCACGAAAAGAAAATACTTTTTTGTTGAAATGAAAAACTACTTTTTCTATGGAAAGAAAGTACTTTTTTTTGTTAAAATGAAAAAAAATACTTTTTTATATCATTTAAAAAAATTACTCATTTGTTGAAATGCAAAAAAAAAAACTATCTATAACATGAAAATAAAATATTATTAATAATATTTTTATTTAGGACGGTACTATTAACAAAGACAAGTGAATTTTAGACCCAAGTGAATTTCTTTTCGTTTGTTTTCAATATGTACTTTGTTTGGCCGTCCGCTCAAGGAGAAGTTCCACATTGCAAACAACGTGCGACTTTAGAGTTTAGACATAACAAAACCTGATGCAGAGCGGGTTGGTGGGGATGTGGAACAGGGTGGGGAAGGTTAAAAAAGAGTTTTGGAAAATATTTTCTCATTCTCTTAATAGGAAAAATATTTTCCTCCAATTGGAGGAAAATGAATTCATGAGAAAAATGTTTTCCAAAACATTTAAGCCAACCAAACATGAAAAAATTGAAAAATATTTTCATTTCATACCAAATACACCCTAAGTGTAAACTACATATAAAGCTTGGACTTTAATGAATAAAGAAGCAAAAGATAAATGAATATGTTTAATGCTGGAATAATAACTATAAACACAGACAACAAACTATATGGACAACAGGACAAGAGAATTGAAATAATTACAATAAGTAAAACTTTAATTCTAATTGTTTCGTGATGTCCTCATCAAGATAGAGAGAGCTCATGGTTACATGGGACACACTTTTACATCTTGATGCCTGCATTGAAGTGTCGCCTATGTTGCACGACGTTTCAGTAGAACAGTGGGTACTATTTAGGGTTGAGGCGTAGTGTTGTAAAACCCATCTCTTTGTCACTTAAAGCTATTAAATGATGTGAAGCAAGGAGTTATAGCTTCATTGGTGAAGTCATGCACGGCAAAGTTCAATCATATATAGCCCTATACCGTTACACTTGAACAAAAATGCCCATATCCGTCAAGAGATCCAGACCCAACACTAAAATAGACACGTGGGGGGACAATAAACATTTTAAAACAACCGGTTCATTTGTCCAAACCCATTACTCGATCCATCCTGAAATCCTCTTTTAACCCATCTCCATTGTTCATTTTAGAGGAGGTGCCATACACAAATAGTGGAAGAACCCTGTGGCTCTACCTCTCTCACTAAGTGTTGTATTTTTCTTTGTGTTCAGTTTCTCCTAAGAGGCTAGATATAATAGGCTTGCAAATAACCTTTCAACCTATTTTCTTTTTAGTTCATGCAAAAAGAATTATTCCTTTTCATATTTGAAAATGATTTATCTTTATGTAATGATTTATAACCGAACAATTGAGATACATTTGAGATACATGTGTCGTAAAGATATTTTTTAATCAATTTCAGTTACGAATTTTGACTCAAACCAGTCCAAATAACTTTCAATTTTTCTCAACTTTTGTATATAACTTTGTCCAAGTATTTTCGATAAATTTCAGCCACACCCACCCAAAAACAACTAACAAATTTCAGATTTCAAAGTTGAAGTTGAATTTATTCTGAGATTTTTTAATTGAAACTTTGCAAATTTTAGTTTTCTTTCTCGATTTCACCAATAAAATGACTTTCAATGCTGAGACAGTTGAAGTAATCGACTTTAATGATTGAATCAATTCCCCCGTTTAAAATTTTTGGGATGAAAATTCCTATCTTCTTTTAAGTTAATTGTTGCTAACCCGGTTGTTGTGTCGTAATCCTTGAATTTTTGTGATGAAAACTGTTACTGGATTTGATTGCTAAATATTTTCGATCTAGAGAGAAGAGGGGAGGATAGGAGAGAAAAAAGGAAAAGAATGTAACTAAATCCCTTAATTAAAGTCACTAATAATGGATTGAGAGCCTTTTAAGGTGGAATGTATATAAATTATATGTAATCCTTATTTAGGGCGGGTAATATATAAAACTAGAATAATTTTGATAAATCAAATATTGTACAGAAACGAAAAAATCCCTATAAAAAATCAAGTACTGCCATGAATAGGGCAGTCAAGGCCCAAACAGTAGCTGAGTAGGATGGGAATTCGAAATATATGTATAATAAATAATTGTAACCTTAGCTATTTAACATCTACTATTTACGTCACCCTAGCTCTGCCCTGTGCCCAAGGGAAGTTCAATTCAATATTGAATTATTGCTCAATCAAATATCGAATATAAAAAACTAGAACTACCTCAAATATTCTTTAGGTTTTAACCTTTAATAATGTCCAAACTCTTTTTCAATAGGTGAGAAATATTAGTTTATTGTTTCTTTTGTTGGATGATTGTTGCATGTCCAAATGTCTTTCAAGTGCAAGACCATCCAGATGAAAATTTACAATCCAGAAGCATTGAGATATTAATGAAACCCACCCNTAATTCTCTCTCCATTGTCTCATTAGTAGTACTGAGATTTGTTTATGGTAGTAATGTTTTATACAAAATGTAAAATGTACAGGGTAAATACGGTTCATATTAAATGCTCGAATGATAGAGTGACACGTGGAACCAGAGGCAGACGGAAGATGAAGCAAGTGGAAACCAAGACCGAGGACAATGGCTTCGGTTGGCACCAAGTAGATCCTGAAGGGAATATTTTCAACGGGAGCAAACGAATGTTTGCCACCAGATGACATTCAATGAAAAATATTCCTCAGTATTAAATACGCATCCGTTACAGAAAATTTCGGCATTCATGACCTCCCGTTACATATTCATTAATGGCCCCCATTATTATCATTTGAGAGGGGCTTAATACTAGGACCTTGTTCCCTAGGTATAGTCATAAATAGTGACTTCAACAACCATTGTAATACACGAAAGTTCTGACAAACTTATGCTACACACTATTCCAAGCTAAAGAATACATTATTTTCTATTTAACGTTATTCTTATTGTTGTCTTCGGAAGCCTTACTCCCGGAACCAAGTTGTCAGATATTTATCTCGATTTCAACTCTAAAAGTCTTACATTTTATATAATTTATTTATTATTATGGGATCAAATCGATTTGCTTGTCTATAAACCACGCCATAAACATAAAAAGGTAAAGATTAGATGTCAATTATTGCACTTGTTAATTTCCAAAGATCAATAAATATTAAAAAGCACAAGGTAAGCTACTTTTTTCTTTCGTATGCGAACTCACAAAATCAGCCCATTGATGTAAAATAGGAAAAAACTACTCAAATTTGTCTTGGTTAAATAAAACTACAAGTATTTTGAGACAAACATTTTTAGTAAGGACTAAGTATTTTGAGACGGAGGAAAATAGAGTTATCTAAAGATAAAACTCATATGTCCTGCGGAGTGATAACTGATGTTTGGCCAAAATGCTATATTTTTAGTACATTACTTGCATTATATGTTGTTATTTTAGTGGCTAATTGTGCGACGTTTGAGCTAAATTATGTTGTTTTATGTGTAGGAACATCGGAAGACAAAGACGAGTTAAAGTTGCACAAAAGAGGACAAAAATACGCGAAAAGAGCACAAAAGCATGGAGTACCCAAGCCTGGCTGCAGGCCAAGCATAGCCAGCTCTATAGCCAGCTTGACCGCGCTACAGGCCAGGCGTAGCCAGTTTTGTAGCCAGGTTGAGCGCACTATAACCCTGGCCTCGCGAAGTCTATAGTCCGGTGATCAAATGTGCGTGAATTAAAAGACTCTGACTCGGATTTGGACTTGGAGACTTCAACCCTAGCCTATATATACTCCATAAACATGTCAAAGAAGAGAGGACGTTTTTGAGAGGGGATTCGACCTAAGGAGGCAAGAACACACTAGGAGCAAGGAGGAGAATTCTTCTACGAGTTTTTCACTTTCTTCTTCCTATTTTCATTATTGGTTATGAATTCTAGTATTGTAGTTTTGCATACTATTATGAATAGCTAATTTGTTATCTAGATTTTTTATGGAACCTTTTGTAGGATGAAGTCTTATTACGTTTTTATATAATTGAGCTGGTGTATTTCTCTACTTGTTTAACTATGTGTTTTACTGTTGTTGATTGAATGGCCATCAATTGACTATGCCTATTTAGTATGTATTGCTTGGACATCACTCCTAACATATATGAGGAATCAATACGGAGGGTTTAAAGGTGG